CCTGCTAACCTGTTTTCCTAACTGGCTATACCGTTTCGTATTTTCACCAGCAAGGTTCAAGAGCTCCAGTTGTTCTAAATCCTCTTGAGCACTTGATATGGGCTCCCAGAGACGGCCCTCTGGCCACACTTCCACCCCCGCATCGGGCTCCATCCCAGGACCCTGGGATCATGACCTGAGCCGAAGGCAGGTGCATCACCGACAGAGTCACCCAGGCGCCCATTGCGTTAGCAAAGTTTTAAGATTATAATTCTGCCTGGTTCATCCACTCAAATCCAATGAACACATTGCCTCTCTGCCCAGGCAACCTCACACTCTCAGAAAACAGACCTAACACCTTCCATACCAAAGCAGCCTCAAGGGGGCAGGAGAGAAGGAGCAAGGGCCAGTCACAGCTCAGCCTGGACAGGAACTCAAATTACCGTGCAGAACATGGCAAGATCAAGCAGCTCTGGGTTTGCCAAATCTTGACCTACAAAGAACAGCCTGACTTCCTCCTTGGGCCCTACCGTTAACAGGGAATGCATAAACACAAACAGTAGGAGAGGAGGATGTTTCTATAACCTGCAATGCTAGGTATTAAGTAGAGGTTCATGGGGGACCCTGGAAACCTACTCGTCATTTGCGCTTCTAAGAAAATGCCTACCCACCCTGTTGTACATAGCTCCCTTGAAAACCAACTGGGACAGGAAGGCCAACAATGTTTACTAAGCTCGTTCTTTGTTTTTTTTTTTAAGATTTTTATTTATTTATTGAGAGAGAGAGAGAATGGTAGAGAGAGAGCATGAGAGGGAAGAAGGTCAGAGGGAGAGGCAGACTCCCTGCTGAGCAGGAAGCCCGGAAGCGAAGCGGGACTCGATCCCGGGACTCCAGGATCATGCCCTGAGCCGAAGGCAGTCGCCTAACCAACTGAGGTACCCAGGCACCCTAAGCTCGTTCTTTGTATCGAACACTATTTAAGTACATTTGTGCATTCTCTCATTTAATCCTGACAATAATCCTCAGGTGGTTTTTTTTTTTAAGATTTTATTTATTTATTTATTTGAGAGAGAGAACAAGAGCGGGGCGGGGAGGGGCAGAGGGAGAGGGAGAAGCAGGCTCCCAGGAGGGAGCCAAAGTGGGGCGGGAGAGGGGGGGCTCAATCCCAGGACCCTGGGATCATGACCTGAACCAAAGGCAAGCGCTTAACGGACTGAGCCACCCAGGCGCCCCCTCAGGTTTATGTATAATAAAGTACTATGCTTATTTCCACTTTTCGTATGAGGAAACAGGCCCAGAGAGGTGAAGCCATTTGCGCAAGGTGACTCAGTGACTGTCAGAGGGAACCAGTTCTTCCACCCAAGAATATCTCCATCTGCAGCTCAGCTTCCTAAACACCATCCTTTCTGAGATTTAAATTCATCAGTGTGATCAAATCTTAACGCTGGAAAGGTTAGAAACAGTCTCTAAATTCTTCACCCCTTATGCCCCCATGCCTAGCACAAAGCCTTAGATAAGGTGGGCTTCAAATAAAGATTTATTAAGGGGTGCCAGGGTGGCTCAGTGGGGAGCCTGCTTCTCCCTCTTCCCTGGCCCTTCCCACCCCGCTCATGCTCTCTCTAATAAATAAATAAAATCTTAAAAAAAAATTTTAAAATAAATATTTATTGAATGAATGTGTGCATGAATATTACCTACTGATCCAGTCCATCACACTCACACAGATTTATTTCCCATATTTAAAAAATGTGTATAATTTGCATACAGTGAAAATCACCCTCTTTATGGACAAACATATATTGTCAATTGTATAACCATCACCACAAACAAGATAGAAAATGATTCCATCATCCCCCAGATTTTCCCATGCTCCTTACTAGTAAGTCCTCCAACGTGCCCTCCGGCCACACTTCCAGTCCCTTGCAACCATTGTATCTGTTTTCCGTCCCTCTAGTTTTGCTTTCACAAGAAGGGCACATAAAAGGAATCATGCCGTCTGTAGTCTTTCGAGCCTGGCCTCTTTCACTTAATATGACACATGTTGCGGAGCGTATCAATTGTTTGTTCCTTTTTATTCCTGAGTAGTGGCCCATTGCATGCAGTGTTCACAGTTTGTTTATACATTCTCCAGTTGAGGAACATTTGGGTTATTTCCAAGTTTGGGCTATTACAAATAAAGCTGCTATAAACATTCTTGTGCAGGGCTTTGTGTGAACATAACTTTTAATTTCTCTAGGGTAAATACCTAGGAGGGGGATTACAGGGTCATATGGTAAATGTATAAGCTACCCTTATAAGAACCTGCTAACCTGTTTTCCTAACTGGCTATACCGTTTCGTATTTTCACCAGCAAGGTTCAAGAGCTCCAGTTGTTCTAAATCCTCTTGAGCACTTGGTATTGTCAAATCAAAATTTTTAACCATTTTAATAGGTATGCAGAAGTATCTCATCTGGTTTTAACTTGCATTTCCCTAGTGACTAGTGATGCTGAGCATCTTTTCATGTGCTTAGTTGCCATCTACATATCTTTTTTGGTGAAATATATCTGTTCGAGTCTTTCGCCCATTTTCTAAAAAGCAGGTTATTTTCTTATTATTGACTTTGTAGAGTTCTTTATATCTTTGGGATGCAAATTCTTTTTTTTTTTTTAAGATTTATTTATTTAGAGAGAGAGAGAGGGAGAAAGAGTGTGAGCAGAGAGAGGGGCAGAGGGAGAGGGAGAAAGAAACTTCAGCAGACTCCTCCCTGAGCTCGGAGCCCAACTTGGGACTTGATTTCAGGACTCTGAAATCATGACCTGAGTCAAAACAAAGTCTGACACTCAACCAACCATGCCACCCAGGGGCCCCTGGGATGCAAGTACTTTATCAGACGTATGCTTTGTAAAGATTTTCTCCCAGACGGTGGTTTGCCTTCATTCATTCCTGTAACAGTGACTTTTGAAGAGCAGTTCTTAATTTTGACGAATTTCAATTGACCGATTGTTTTCTCTTAGGGATCATGCTCTTGGCATTATATCTAAGAATTCTTAGCCCAACCCAAATTCACAAAAATTTCTCTTGTGTTTTCTTCTAGAAATTTTATATAATCATAGCAGCTACCTTATGAGGTTGTTGTATTGAATGGGGGTAATATATATAAAGCCCTTAGCACAGGGCCTGGCACAGAATGAACCCTCAGTAAACAGAGCCTAAAATGGACATTTGCCTAGGTGATATTTATAAGACGTGCCCTCACAGCCACCACACGTTTCCTCTGCACAGACCTGTGTCCTGTCATCACAGAATGACAAGACACAGCAGCAAAGCATATCCTTGTCCAAACTGATCCTGGAACCAATGGAGGTACGTAGGCAATTGAGGGAGGTGGTAAGGCCTACAGGTCATCTCAAGAGCCAGACCCGGAAGGTGTTCTTCCTACTGCAACTAGCTCTCCTCCAGCCTGCCTGTTTCCATGCAGCCTGGAGGTCTAGCCCAAATTATGATGCTGTTCTGGGGACAAGGGTCTATTTATTGAGCACCTACTGTGTGCCAGGCCATTGGCTCCAGCAGCTAACGAGATAGAACCCACAGACTAGCAGAAGAAAAAAAATGAACAAATAATTACATAATTAACTACTGAATTAAGGAAAAGGATGGGGGTGGTTACGTCCAATAAAACATTTGTTGCCTTTCCTCAGCCTCCGCCTCTGTACCAGGCGTCTCGGGCCCCTCCGGGCTCGGGGTGGGGGTGCTCAGACACAGGGGCCCACATGATGTCAGCCTAAAAGCAAGGTGGAAAGGTCCTCGGGGAGGTGGGGGCTGTGTTTTGGAGGGCTCTGAGAGAGGGGTTATTCATTCGTGGTCCATTCATTCATTCGAGAAATCTCAGGCGGCACCTGCTGTGTAGGAAGACCAACGCGGCCCCTGCCCTACTATGTTGGGGGGCAGACAGCGACAGGAAAAAAATAACGAAGACGGTTTCAGCCAGAGCCTTAGGCACGGTGGGGCTGTGATGGGGACAGGGCGGCCCGGTGGAGCGGCCGCCCGGGGACGCAGTCGTCCTGTATTTGCGGCACCCACCCCCGCGCCCCGGCTCCGCAAAGAGGTCACCACGCTAGCGACGAGCGCGCCCTCCGCCCTGTCCGCAGCACGCGCGCCCCCGCGAACGAGCGCGCGCGGCCCACTACCCGCCCGCGCCCCGGCGCCCTCCGCGCACGACGCCCCCTGGCGGGAGCCCTCGACCACGCCGGCCGCGCGAGAAGGGGAGGGGGCGGGGGCGCCGCGCACGCGCAGGGCCGGCGGCGCGCGCCGAGCGGGGGGCACCGCGCGGGTGCAGCCACGATGGAAGGGGGTGCGTACGGAGCGGGCAAAGCCGGGGGCGCCTTCGACCCCCACACCCTGGTCCGGCAGCCGCACACCATTCTGCGCGTCGTGTCTTGGGTAAGGACGGCTGGGTGGCCCGGCCGCGCCGGGGGTGGCGTGTCGTGGGGGCGCGGGCAAGGGCGGCGCGCCCGGACGGACCCCAAACCCGCCGGACCCCGGGCAAAGGTGCCGCAGCCCTCGGGGAGCGTTCCCGACAGGGTGCCGGCGCCCGCCCCCTCCCTCCTTCACGGGCCCCGGGCGGGGGGTCCCAGCGCTGGCGAGGGGCGCCCGCTCCTGCTGCCGGCGCCCTTGCTTGCCGGCGCCCCCATTCGCCTGTGGCCCCCCATGGTCGTGACCTCCAGGCCGCGGTTATGCGGCTCGCGGCTCGTGTTGCGCGTTGCCGCCCGGGCGGATCAGCGCCGGTGGGGACTGAGCCCGGGTTTCAGGTGGCTTTTTTGGGGGGGGTGGATCAGGGCGTGGATCATCTCACGGGGTGCACGCCGCGCCTGCCGTAGACGTTCGAGGAGGAGAGGGCCGGAAACCAGGTTTGATGGCTTAGCCCCGAAGGTATGGAGCGATGCGTCGGGAGCCGGATACCTGGCTTCCACCCGGCAACTGCCTCTCCTTCGCTGCGTGACCTTGGACTGGGAACCACCCAAGAAGTGTTTATGGGAAACGAGGAGTTACATTCTGAGGTGGGGAGAGTCAACTCCTTTCTCATGCCTCAGTTTCCCGATTTGTAGAGAGGTGGGAGGAGCCACCTTGGGCTCTGATATTTCCTGAATCCATGACCGCCCCCCCCAAGTACACCTGGATGCTTGTGGCGGGGGGGGGGGGGGGGGGGGTTAAGGGAGAGGTCCCCTACCCACAGGGAAGAGCAGAGAGGCCTGTTCTGGAGCTCCAGCCTGGTGGGTGTTAGAATCCCCCAGCAGTCGGGGGTCCCTGCTCAGACCTGGGGCTGTGGGGGAGGAGGTTGGGACAGAGACAGTGAGCACAGAGGGAGGGGTTCAGATGGTCTGGGCAGCACCCCAGGAGAGGAAGGCCCACTGTGGGAAGGGGTGCCTAGGGCCCCCTAGGGTTTGCTGGCCATTGCCCAGACACCCTCGCTAGAGGGTCATGCCTCTGCTGGCCTGGGGCCTATTCCTGTGGGCCCATACCGGAAGGGCTAGGATTGGGGACACTGGGCAGGGTCACTTCAGCGACCCCAAGGGGCTACACCTAAGGCCAACTGTGGCCTCAGGGTGCTCAAGCCCCCTCACTTCCTGGGTTTTCAGGGCAATATTAGGGTCTGATGGGTGGGACAGCATGGGTGTTTATCTCTGGCCTCCCAGAGAGAAAGGAAGCTAACTGTCCCTTGTCTGAAAATGTTAAAACCTCCCCCTGGTGCCACAAGAAGCCATGTGTAAACCCCTTTCTTCTCAAGTACCCACCAGATGGGGAGCTCGCTGAGGGCAGGGAAGCCCCAGTGGCTGCACAGGACCTGGCAGTCGGCCTGGCACCCTGGGCACATCCAGAAGGCTTTGTGGTGCTGGATTCATTCATCTGTGCCAGTCTCCAGCTCCCCAGAGACCCCGACTGGCCGTTGGCAGAGATAGGGCTCTGGGGGGGCACCTGCCTGATCCGGTAGGCCAGCTATGTGCTCTGCTCCCCTTTGCCAGCCCCTGGGCCACGGGCCTGGGAGGGTGAAGCCACTGGCTTTGTGAGGAGGTGTGGGCAGTTTGCCTGCTTGGGGCACTTCTGCCTGTGATGGCTTCATTTAGCAAAGCTTCAAGTCTGCTGGGCCCCTAGGGAAGGCGGCATGACTCAGACGCAGCCTTTAGTGCTCAGGGATGGCACAGTCCCACTGGGAAGGGAGCCAGGTACCCCCCGGGCAGAGGCCGTGAGAGCCAGCAGAGGGGTCCCCCCGCCGTGGGAATCAGAGAGGCTTCGTGGAGAAGGTGATATCAAATTGGGCCTTGAAGGATGAGCAGGGCTTACCTCTGTTCATATCTGGGTGCAGGGAGACATTCCAAGCAGGAGGAAGGAAAAGGAACTGACGGAGAACCCACTGTGTGCAAGGTGGAGGGGGGTGCACACAGTCACCCAGCTCATTCCCCTATGGCCTGCATCACTCAAAGAAGCAGGCTGAGAGAGACCCAAGGTTACTGAGCATGTGAGCGGCAGACAGAGGATCCAAACCCAAATCTTGGCATCTCCAAAGCACATTGATTGCTTCCCTGGGAGCTGGAAGAGGTCAGAATCCTGGGTTTCAGGACTGGGCAGGATAAAGGTCATCTGGGCCAACCAGCATCTAAGGCCCAAATCCTCCCATGGCCTCCTAGCTCTGCTCACTACCTTTGTGTGAGCAGAGGCTGCTGATACAGGCTGATCGTCACCTTTAAAAAATATATAGTATTTTTTTTCTGATCACAAAAGTAATGCCTGCTGATGTTTGGAAAATATAAACATCACTTGCGATGGTCACACAACATTATAAATGTACTGGACTTAATACCACTGTGCACCTAAAACTGATGACGGTGGTACATTTTACGTCCTATTTTACCACAATAAAAACAATCAGGAAAAAAAACTCACGTGTGATCCCACCACTCAGGGAGGCCCAGTGCTTCCTTCCACTGTTTTTTGAAAATGTGTGGTATGCCAACATGTTTTAACATGTTGACAAGCATGCAGAGGATGCAGTTGGTGACCTGTCCTTCGCCCTGGTGTTCCCTTGGCGCCCCACAGGGTCAGGGAGGCATCAGGCTCTATCATCAAGCTAAGGAAGCCTGAGCTCCAGGGCTAGGGTGACCAGTTCATCCAGGTTTGCTGGAATTTCCCAGCTTTAGCACTGAAAGTCCTGTGTCCTGGGAGCCCCGTCAGTCCCACACAAACCTGGACGCCTGGTCCCTCCATCCAGGACCACTCCTGTGTTTCCCCCGTGCAGCCCAGGGGCGGCCCTAGCCCCATGTGCTCGTGGGCTGGTGATTTTGTGCAATTTGTAAAAGACAGATCTTGTTTCTGAAAGTGGGACTCCCCATACCTGGATCTACCCTGGAACCTGAGCCACTGGGGCAGAAGCACGTTGCCCAGCATGTCCTCTTTGGCTTCCTCAGCTCCTCTCTGCCCTCCCCTCCCCACCCACTGGTTCCCAGGCCCCGTGATTACGCAGAGCAGGCATTGAGCGCTTTGGCTAAGTGGGGAGGGGGCTGGCAGCCCTCTGGCTCAGCTGACTTGGACCTTTCCTGCCTGGGGTGAGGAGGGGACGGTTGAGGGGGTGCAGCGTGGAGGGCGAGCTCAGAGCTGCGGCCTCTGACCGGGTTGGAGGGAGATGGCGCAGTGCTGGCTGGCGGCCAGGAGAAGGCTGCCTCTAGGCTGCCCCACGCAGCATCTGTGACCACCCTTGTGCCTCGGTCTCCCCAGCTCAGCGAGGAGGCTGAGCTAGGTCAGAGGTGCTCCAAGACCGCGGCCTGTCAGCGGACACCTTTCTTTGTGCTGGGGCCAGGTGGGGGACATGGAGCTCTGGCAGGGAGCTAACTGATTTCATATAAAGGACCCCCTCCTCTGTGGCCTTTGCAGTCTTTTCTTTTTTTTCTTTCTTTTTTTTTTTTTAAGATTTTGTTTATTTATTCATATGAGAGAGAGAGAGCACATGAGAGGGGGGAGGGTCAGAGGGAGAAGCAGACTCCCTGCTGAGCAGGGAGCTGGATGCGGGACTCAATCCCAGGACTCCAGGATCATGACCTGAGCCAAAGGCAGTCGCTTAACCAACTGAGCCACCCAGGCGCCCCCTTTGCAGTCTTTTAGACGGTCCACCTGATCTGCAGGGAAGGAATATTGGCGCTGGTAGAGGAGAGGGTGGTTGGTGTTTTAATGTTCAGTCTGAGCAAAATAGGATGCTAAAAGTTTGAAATTTCAGCGTGTTCAGGGTTGATTTCTGAACACCCCTGGATTCTGTGAGTAGGGTGGGTATTGCCCCCCAAACGACAGAATAAGGCACAACCTGAAGGTCTGCAGGGTCCACATTCAGTGTACCCCCTGTGGCCTCCCTGTCTAGGTTGCCATGGTCTCATTTCATCAGCACCCTCAGTCATCCCAGTGAACACTGACTCTAAAAGCTGAGCTAGCTTTGGAAACACAGCAGCTTCGAGATGAGATCCCTTGTCCCCTCTCCCATCCAGATCACCATTCCCTAGCCATCCTGCATCAAAATCCTGGAGCTGTGGGGTGGCGAAAAGGGGTCCAGGGTGGAGATGGAGCCTTTGGCCAGCTCTGGCATTCAGCCATCCATTCCACAAACGCCAAGTCCCTGCCCAGTACCAGCCTGTGTGTCCTACCAGAGACTGTCAGTCCAGTGACACGGAGACTTGAGACACTACAAGAAGAAAATCCAGTAGGGGGTAGCTGCCTCTGCCAGGGGGGTATGGAGGAAGGACTTCCAAGGGGAAGTGACTTCTGAGTTGGTTCTGATACAGACGTGGGGAGGGAACATTCCAGGTGGAAGGAACAGCATGTGCAAATATCTGGAGGCATGAGGTCTGAGTGGGCTTCGGAAACGATGGTGAGCTCTTGGAGGTTCTGGGTATGTGAGTCAGAGTGACGTCACACTCCGTGGGTGTGCTCAAGAGCGGCAGGTGGGGGGGCGGCTCACAAAAGACCTCAGGTGGCAGATGACTTCATCTGAGGGCCAAGGGCAGCCACAGAGAGGGGTTTCAAACAGAGAAGAGCTCCCTGTGGCTGCTATGTAGAGGTGTGGCCTGAGAGGGTCCTGGGGGCAGGTGTCCTGACAGGAAATGGGTGGCCTCATACAGCCTGTCCTCTCCCAGCACCTGGCACAGCCCCGTCACTAACTCAGGGAGCTACGTCCATGGAGGTAGATCACATGCTCGTTTGGCGTTTATCACTAACAGTCTTGGAATCTTCCTTGTCTTTTCATCTGCTTGTGACTAACCTTTGGCTGGTCTCTCTCTCTTAGGTCTAGGATGGAGTCAGTGGCAAGGAGAGATTCAGGAGATGTTGGCTGGTAGGTGAGGTCTTCAGGAGATGTTGGCTGGTAGGTGAGGTCTTCAGGAGACGTTGGCTGAGGGCTGAGGTCT